TCCCGGGGTCCTTGGCTTTGGGTTCTTGCAGGTACGGTGGCCGTCCGAGTCGAGGGATCCCGAATGACATCTTTGTCCCATCAAGTTATATGACGTGGAGGGGGGTGTGATGTGTAAATACACGTGTCTGATGACGTGGCACCAGCTATTTAATTTGATTGCCACGTCAATTTTCCGATCGGTCACGTCAGCAAACCTTTGCCGGAAGTCAACTCTGAGACAAGATTGCAAAAATTTAAAAAGGTTTATATTTTGGTGCAAAATAAAAAAGATTGAGTTTTATGTGCAATTTAACAAAAGATTAGGATTTTTTTGGCAATTAACCCTTTATTTATCTATTGTGTCATTTTATCCAAAGGAAAAATATTTATCTACGTATTATGAAATATTATACTTGATCTGCATCTACTATGATGAAAATAATCGAGAATGAAACAATCAAACATAGTTGGTTAGTTTTCAATCAACAATAAGAAAAACTATAACCATAAATGATAGTTATTACATATTCGAGTTATTTTCAAAGAGCATAAAGCAAAAAGAAGACATTAAAAAACTATATTATGATAACAATAATAATGATCGTTATTTTTAAGCATAATGAGTTATCATTAAATAACAAAATCAAAGATGACATAAATTTTTTTAGCATTTAAAAGTTCACAAAAAAAAAATAATAATAATTCTACTGTAGATTTTCAAACTAATATTTTTTTATTTAATTTTATATGTAAGAGTTTGGTAAAAAGTATTAAATATTATATTTCGTTATTTAATACATTTATTATTGATTATTATAAAATAGACAATTTTTTATTTAACTAATGGAATGAAATTATATTCTATTATTAAATGTAAATTTAATAATAAAAACAATTTTAAGAAAAAAAAAAAGTATTAATATCACGTGCGTAGCACGTGCATCTTCCTAGTTACAATAAATTTACAGCTAGATGGCTTTTTAGCAAAAAAAAAAAAAAATGTAAAAAATTGAAAATGACAAATTTTTGTACAAGTTTAATTATCAGTCTGATATGGGATACAACACCAGGCATTATAAACCCGATAAACCAACTGGCCAAGTTGGGAAAATTGGTTGGTCGAACAGAAGCACAAGTAGACCGAACAAATGTCGAACGTTATCACAGAACAAGGTGTCTTCAGGTCGAGAAAGACACTAGAGGCTCAAAGAGACATCAACAAGTCGAGTCAAGGCCCTCAGACGGTCTGGTGGAAACTCGACCTGAAGGTAGGACTGGTCGCATGATCGACCAGATAGACAATGGGCGAGCTCAACTTACGCAGCATTCTCTCTTGAGGTCATTCAGACCAGTCGCACGATTAGTCAGTCTAATAAGACAGACTAATGGATAAGAATGAATATTAACATGATAAGGGATACACGTGGATAGAGGCACATGGCCTAATAGAATTGGGCCGCTTGAGCAGTACAAAAGGGTTGTTCAGGCAGTCCGGACAGCTCACTCGGGCAGTCTTGGGCAACAGGGTAACATCTCCATATAAAAGGGAGTGGGTTATGCCATTTAGGACATTACACTTTCTATACACTTACCTATTGTTCATCATGTTCTTCACATCTCCAACTTAAGCATCGGAGGCTCTTCACCAGAAAAACCTTCTAGTGTCAAGTTTTTGCAAGTCTTGAAGGTCATTCACCAGTGAGGAAGAAATATCAGGTCAAATAGAGTCGGTCGAGGATCTTTTACATACCATTTGGCACCGTTTGTGGGAATTTTTTCAAAAAATCCATCGAAGCCCCACCATCTACAGCGAACGAGATTCTCAAAAAATAATTTATAGAAAACTTTTGATTTCGTGTGGACAACCACACATTCGTTCGGAGCAGGCTCACCATCAAGCTTCTCAAGACCATCGCAGACTTCGGTGACCCTGACACCTCATCCTACAGGCTTAGGGAGTTCAACGGTGGTCCTTGTTGCAGCAGCTGGGTCGAGCAACCCATCAGAGGCTTGAATGACTAAAGATGTCGCATTTTCAGTCCAGGCATAGCTAGAACGTGCGATTGCCCAAGTGATGGGGCCACCTAAGAGTGAGGCTGAGCATGGAGGACGACAGCTCGCGTGAAGTTGTCTAAATAGGAGCTTGAAAAGATGATTGTAGACGTCTTTGCAGCCAGAGCAGCCTAGCAGCTCACACAAAAAACTTCATATGCGACCACTACACCCACTATTGTGGTACGATTGACCTGACAAGAGACATAGAGCGAGAGTCGAATAGCAGAAACACCGTGGTACACATGGATCAAGTTATGGAGAGAATGACAGAGCAAATCCGTCAACTTCAGGCGTAGGTCGAAGTAAAAGTCGAGCTTGAGGGCATCTTTTCTCCCCAGAGATTATAGAAATTGCACTATCTACCGACTTCAGGGAGGTCAGTCTTACTTATCACGGTCGACGGATCCTCTTAGGTACCCTGAGGGAAGGAAAAGTTGTCTGTCTTGCATGGTTATTTGGATACAGTGAGCGGCCAAGCTTTTCTAGCTACCCTGAGGGAAGGAGCTCAAGATTGATTTCACCAACTCCCCTAGGGATGTTGAAGTATTTTGAGGACTTTTTGAACATGTTCTTGAATCAATATGCTAGTGAAATAGCCCAGTAGAAAAGTTATCTGACTCTGATGGCAATGAGGTGGGAGGAGGGAAAATCTTTGAGGAATTATGTGGCCAGGTACAAACGATCTTGCATGGAGATACCTTCAGCCTCGGACGAGGTCAAGTCTAGAGTTCTAATCAAGAGTTTGGGGCTGGTCCTTGTCAAAGCTCCATTGCTAAGACACCGGCCAGAACATATGATGATGTGCTGAAGAGATGCAAAAAATATGTGAATATGGAGAAGACCAATGAGAAGTTTGCTAAGCTCAAGTATATGGCTAGACCTGATGTCAAAAAGGAGAGGGTGAGCATTCCCAAAAAGGATAAATCAGAGAAGAGAAGAGAGGATAGGTGGCAGGATCTATCTCTTAAGAATGGACACATATATGATAAATACACATTACTGAAAGTGAGATTACAATGAAATAAATAAAAGCCATTACAAATAATGATTACGATAACATCACATCTAATTTTCTGAATTAAAAAAATCCTCACATAAATAATCAATCAACGCATTATGAAGTGCGATATGAGTTTTTTTATCTCGAATTTTTCTATATCGAGCAACAAATTCTTAGAACTGAGAAGCTTCATTACCCACCGTTTCAACATATGGGATCGGGGCCTCTATCGCAGCTTCAATCGGTGCATCGAGAGCTCGATCATCCTCAATTATCATATTATGCAAAGTAATATATGCAGTCATTATATCTTGTAAGTCTTTTTTACTCCAAAATCGGGCAGGATTAGCCACAATAACAAACCGACTTTGAAGTACTTCAAATGCACGCTCAACATCCTTTCTACATGCTTCTTATGTCAATGCAAAATATTTTTTTGCTTTATGGATTACATGGGTCACGAATAGTTTGTACAAGAGTTGACTATTTGATATATATATTTTATCTGTTAAATAATATCACATGTTGTACTATTTTCGTTGGATGACATAATGTGTTGGAGGAGCAATTTCTCGAGTAAGATCGGAAAATAAATGGGACCTCTCTAACACATTAATATAATTGTTGGATCCAGACATACCAAAGTATGCATGTCATATCCAAAGATCATAGTCGGCTACAATTTCTAAAATAATAGTTGGAGCTTTACTACGCCCTACACACCTACCCAAGCCGTTGGATAATATTTTCAGCCAATGCATACAATCTCGACTACCTAACATTCGTAGGAAAGCCACGTTGCTTGCCGATATAAAGGAGTTGTGCAATGTTATTGGCATTGGGAGAACGTAGATATTGCTATCTAAATATCTCTACAATTGCACGACAAAATCACGCATTCAATTACAGTGGACTCTCCAATATTTATATATTCATTTGTTGCATCTACTGGTACAACATATGCTATTATCCAAAACGCAGCAGTTAACTTTTGATATGTATTCGAGTCTACCAACTGCATCTCTTTCTTGCAAAAAATAATCATCGTGACTTTTAACTGCGTTTGCAATACGAATAAATAAACTTATAGACATGCAAAAACGTCTATGAAACATGGCTTCATTATATTGTGGGGTTTTCAGAAAAATAATCGTCAAAAAGAAGATTTGCAGCTGTTTATTGATCGCGAAATATTGTTTTTCGACCAAGAACTGAACCTCCATGGCTTCGACCACCTTGTTGGGTTTTGAGAAATTCTTGTACAAGAATTTTGTTGTTGTAAATTTGTTGTGCTATCATATGTTGCTTTGTATCATAACTATCTAGTAGTTGTTCAAGTCCATCATTAAATGAACTTGAAGAAGAAAATGCATATGAAGTACCATTGTGATTGAGTTTCATATTTTTTTATTTTTTTATTTTTGGAAAATGAAAGAGTTAATGAATGAAAATATAGTGATAAAACAATCTACAACATTTAATATGAAACGTAAAATCCTGATTTTCATAGATAAGAATCATACTGTTGTAGATAAGAAAATCTACAACTTTCAATCTGAGCCATAGAATCTTGATTTTTTATAAGCAAATACACATCTTTTGATATTACGTGAAGTTCTTGCAAATTAAGTTCACAGTATTACAGTTTAAAATACAAATGGTCAAATCCTCGAACACGATACTTCATATTACAGTCTCGAGATCTGAAGAGGAACGCTTGCTTCGACGGCTTCCTCCCGACAGGCGACAAGCGAGATCCTCTCGAGACTCCCGAGCTTCTGCAGTAGGTGCCTCTGACAATTTTCGGCCGCCAGGATCCCCGCGGAGTAGGCGCCGTGAACCGAGCCCTGATGGTCGACACTCACAGCCTCGCCCCCGAAGAAGAGATTCCCCACTGGGGCCCGCAGCCCGTCATATATGTCCTCCGAGTTGCCGACTGCATCATATGAATAGGAGCCCAAGATATTTGCGTCCGTTCCCCAACGTGACAGCCTGTACTGAACCTGTCATGCAGACCATTCAGAAAACTAAGTTCATTTAACGGCAGATTTTGTTGGTGGCATTATAAGAACTGTGAAAAATACATCTGACTTGACTTGTTAAAACATAACATCAACAACAATAACAACAATATTGCAAAACATACAGGCTCGGTTGCATCTGGAAACATTCGTTTCAGCTGTACCATTGCGAAATCAGCAGCAGCCTCGTCCGATAGCTTTCCAAGGTCATACGCAAGGGCCCCAGCTGCCATATAGACGAGGACTGGATGGCCTGTAGCCTTCTGGAGATTAAGAAAATAGCCACAGGAATAAGAAATGGTGGCAACAACGCCCAAAAGTTCCACATTTGGCCAAAAGACACGGTCGAATTTCAGTGCAATTTTATATTCATTTCCAAAACCAAGATCGGATATTGCTGACTGTTTCCATTCTGGAAGACTAGGCTCAAACTCAATCAAGTTGGCTTTTAGAATCCCCAAGGGGACAGTGACTATGGCAGCATCAGCTACAAACTCAATGCCATCTTCGACTGTTACAACCACCTTCTTATACCCGTTGACAATTCTTTTAACCCTGTAAATTAAGATTGAGAAATTTAATTAATATTTCAGTGAGACGCTTTTTGTCAGAGCTAGATTGAACAACACCTGAAATAGTCCAACCGTAAGCGAACAAAATATGCCTAAATCCAGCTGCAAGTCCGAGGTGGGGAAAACATACAAGTAATCTACATAATCAACTAAATTGTTCTTACAGTTAATTATATCTTCTTTTGATATTCTCATTTTTATATGCATGCAAGAGGCTGTACAAGATTTTCCTTTCGGATAAACCAATTACCAGCGTAATATAGCTAAAGTCACGTTTAGGAACAAAGAGGTCTAACATCAAACTTGGAGCTAAAATCAGTTATCCATCAAATCAATTAGGATTTCAAACAATCATTCCTAATCAAGCAAGTGGATATTTATGAAATTACGAGATATTTCTATCGGGAAATGTGCATACATACCGGTGATTTAAGCGAATATCAATATCTCTTGACAGGGCCTTTATCACCGGATCGTACCCTTGCACCATAAGGCCATGGCCGCCGGTAAGTACTTTCTCCTGAACACGGGAAACAGTCAGGTAAATAAGACAGCAGTAGGTAATGGTAATACTTAACCCAGTGAATCCAAATTAATGGCTTTCATGGTAAACCCACCAGACTTGCAGGGGTGGAAGCTTTTGAGCATTATCGGGATTGGTTAAACCCATCCAGTTTCAATATGTTTGATTTTTGATAAGATGACAGACCAAAAAATAGAAATGTGCATATCGGCATCCAGTTCATACAACTCGTTGACTCAATGAACAATCACTTTCTCGCAATTCAAAGTTGATAGCACTAAAGTAGAAGCAGTTGAACTTCATAATAAAAATTTTTAGAAAGAGAACAAAATAGAGAAATGGAAACAACTTGCCTGGTCCCAGGCTTTCAGAGATATCCTATCTGCATCGACAGCAAACCAAGCCTCCATTCTACATATGTACCACTGTAGAACTTCATGTGCAAGACCGTCTTGTCTGAAGGGATTCAAGTTACGGCAATGAGCAATAGCTTTCTATTTTAGAAAGTTATATTAAGAGCAACCAAGCAGCTGATTACGCTACCTAAGATCTGGATGTCTATCCAGCACAATCAATATTGCTGCCTTAACAGATATGTCATTGCTCTGTTCATTCCTCACTTTATCCGTCTAAACGAGAAAAAGAATACATATTATAGATTGGCTCCTGTATCACTAGTGCACAATAGGTCAAAAGAGAGATTTTAAAAGGAGTCCATTACCTCTTCAAGGATTTTCTTAAATGCAACTCCAACTTCAATAACCATTTTTTGAGGAACTTGATGACCATTTATGTCGAATAGAATATAACTGAAACGATCAAAACAAAAGTTTAGTAACCCTCTCAAGAATCTAACAATGTCGATGTACAATGATTTGCAATGAAATGAAAAAAGAAGTGAAAGTACATAAACTACAATGTAAGGACATTGAATCAAGAGCACTTACATTCATTTTTTGGAAAATGAAGTTTGTTAAAAGAAATAAAGGTCCATATGAGAAAGTATTTCCAGAATGTCTCTTTCATATACTACTTAAAGTGATGGTAATAATAGATAGGTAAATATAGAGCTGTATACCTTTCCAAATCATGGTCATATAGAAGGGAGTCGTCGCCACTTGTGCGATACAAAGTGAGCCCCAAACGGCGTATAATGGGAGACAACGGATTCTCATTGCAGACACCATGTAACCTAAGTATTGCCAAGAAAGTAAAATACAATTAGAGAATTACGATTAGCAAAGACCAGGCAGAATAATGCAAAGTTGGACATGTTCCTTATTGAAATACTCCATCAGAAACTCTCGTCTTTCTACAGGCTAAACAAGAGAACTAGACTTTATTACCAAGAACATAAGTTAACTTTCTGATGCAAGTTGGGTGATTTAAGCTTGTTGCATATGCGTATCATTTCATTTATGCGTGACAATTCAAGGGAAGTTTTCATGTGTAAAAGTTCATTTTAAGAGAGAGACTTGTTTTCCTGGAATGGAGTAGGAGAATGATAAGTGTAACACGTGCAAATAAGAAGCATAATAAAAGAAAAAAATAAAATAAAATAAATCTTCCATTTGGAAGAAAAATGCCTAGGGATGGAAATCTTACCATGAAGCTCCCATGTCAACTGGGCAACCAAATGAGTAATCAGTGTGAATACGACCACCAATCCTGTCTTGGGACTCCAACAGGATCACCTAAAATAGAATATGGCCAAATCAGTCATGAAAAATACATAAAAGATAACAGATACAACTATTAAAGGAAACCAGTTACCAAACCTTAAAAGATGCATTTTGAAGCATGTGGGCCGCAGCAATTCCTGATATACCCCCACCAACAACGATGACAGAAGGCAATGCATTATGTTGTCTCTCGACAAGTGACGCATAAATGCCTAGTCGCCGGAAGGCAATTGGTCAGAAAACAACAATGAATTTGTGTAACTTCTTGAATCTCAAAAAACAAAATAAAAGTTGCTAGAGTTACCCTCATCTGGGAACGGTAACAATGACTCTTGACATGGAAACAAACTCTAAAAGCAAGACGATCAACAATAACACAACAAAATAAGACAGATTTGATCTTGTTAGTCTATAATGTACAGTAAGAGACGCTGCCTTTAACAGTCTAGATTTTCAATATGTAATTTCTCGAATTTCAAAACAAAAAAAAAAAAAGCTTTTTTTTCTGGTTTTCCTCATCCGGAAACAGTTAGAACAAAGACTCTTGACACGGGAAAAAACTCTAAAAAGCAAGGGAATCAAAGATAAAAGCATAACAAGACACTGCCTTTAACAGTCTAGAGTTTCAGTAACCACAAACAAGGAACCAAAGACACATCAAATACAACCTGCATGACAGTTTAGCTTTAGCGAGAAAGTGTTTGAAAATCTACAAAGCAACATATTTGAATTGTGACTGTCATATATAGCCTCATATCAAACTCATTATGGAAAAAAGTGAGTCCACTGATCACCAAACATTATAATAATACATCTAATGGAATCGCTCATCAAATCATACGTATCCATTAAAATTCAACAAACAACAAGCAAATCAACAGATTTGATCACGGCCATATACACACATCAAACAGAGTAAAGCCACAAAAAACCCAATTGCAATGATCCAATCAAACACTAGAAACTTTAGACTACAACTAAAAACACGAAGAACGGATCACAACAAAACTAACCATCGAGACACTCGCCAGCTAGCGAGTCACCTCCGAACTTCACTTCCATCAACCGGCCGCTTGAAACACCTCCAATTTCACCGCCTCACAACATGTGCAACACGGAATTCGACAACACAACAACGGGGAACCAAATTCGACAACTCGAGCAGCAATTCAAAAGGCAGCAGCAGCAGCAGCAGCAAAAACAACAACAGAAAGAAGAAAATGTGATAGAACAGAGTTTACGGGTGTATAGGAACCGGAAAATTAGAAATCAGCTGGGAGGAATGGTAGAGGAGGAAGAGCAACAGGCCGGCAACCAAGCGGCTGAGATTGGACGCGCAGCGCAGGTTATCATCAAACAAGTTCTTAATAATCATAATCGCAGCACTCGCCGGAGCTGCATTAACAGCAACCGCCGCGGGATTCGAATCGGCAATTTGTCCGTTGCGCAACGATCGATGGATCCGTCGTCCTTGGTTGCATACAATTTGTTATTCCTCTCTCTCTCTCTCTCTCTCTCTCTCTCTCTCTCTCTCTCTCTCTCGCTCGCTCTATGTGATTCTGTCTCTAACAATCGGTAGGGAAAGAAGATATTAATGGCTGGTAGATTTAACCGAATTTGTCGTGACGTTTTGCGTGATGGATGGGTCGGGTGGATTTGTTTTTAAGATTTTCATATTTTTTTATATATAAAATGGGAAAAATGTTCGGGTCCGAAATTCCGTTGAGATTTGTAATTATTTGATGCACATGCAACACTAATCTACATGATATCTAACTGTTACAAATTGCAACGAAATAGTTTCGAAATTGTACACTAATCTACATGACATCTAACGGTTACAAATCGCAACGAAATAGTTCCCTAAGGAGAATGTAAGTGATCATTAGTTGTCAATGCATTAATATGTCGAGTTATTTGAATGGAAAGTTATTTGTAAACGAAAACTAATAAAACTTCTTGTTGAGATATTCAATATATACTAAAACATTTAATCATTTAAATAAATCTATATATATATAATTACTAGACAATAGCATTTAATAAAACTTATTTAATTTTACCTATGTGACAATTTAACCATTTTTCCTCCAAAAATCGTTACTTTTGATGAATTTAATCTTTTATTTAATTATTAATTAATCAACACTAATCACTTTAAAATTACAAAAATCATTTTAAACTTTTGATTACTGACAGTTGACCATATAATGTGTTGACCGTATATTGTGATGAGATGTTATTATTGTGGTTACATTAAATTAATTTTTTTAAAATAAAAAACGTATTTGAAATTTCTAAATAAATAATAACTAATTCACAAAAAAAAAGATGTACCAAAAAAATATACATTACATCCAATTAGATAAATACAATTTAAAAAAAAAAATCCAATTCCTTTAATTGTAAATTTGGCTAACAAAAAGGTGAAAGAGAAATAATTAATCATTATATGCATACATATCACTCACAATACTTTATTTACATTTGTGCAAGTGCACAGCGTCGAATACTAGTTAAATATTATCATAGAAAATGATTGACAGTGGAAAGACAACTGTAGGGAATGATTTTTCATCGTATATGCATGTAGATTACTAGATTTAAATAACTTTCTTTTTATGAAATTTAATTACTTTTTTAAAAAATTAATTGCATCCACTTTATTTAGAAAAAACAAATGTTCAAACTGTATTTAATAATGATAAAAAAATTAAAAATGTTAAATTATGCCAATTACAAACACTAGAACAAAAAGAGTTCTAACAACACAAATATAGTGACATTTTTCAAATATTTGTAATTAAAATTGATATGTTTGTGACGCTTTTTGAAAAGTGTTACAAAAATAAGATTATAACAATGTTTTTAACAAAATGTAATGAAATCATGTCATTTTTTAAAAAGTGTCTCCGTGTTAACTAATTTTAGGACATTTACTTAAAAGTGTAATTAAATTATGACGTTTCATACAAAAGTGCAAATGTTCAATTATGCCAATTTAATTTCAAATTATTCGCTTATAAACATATTTGTAATTCTAATTGTTATCACTCTCTTTAGTCCTAACATTTTTATGAAAAAGCATATTGTTAATTATTTTAAATTTCCAGTGTTTTCTATATGAAAAATAATGGATGTTGTTGTTGTTACTGAAATACTATATTGCTTGTTTTTCTAGAAAACTATTTAAGATTTTAAAAAATAAAATATATCACAATCTATTTTATTTATTGACATTTGTCAATATTTATTCTATAACAATTTTAGAGCATTGGAGATACTCTAATACTTGTAGTTTTCTTGTTTGAATGAAACTTAAATTTACAGATTGTTCGCTAGATGATCTTCATGTGTCTGTGGTGATCATTTTCTTTGGCACTGCATGGGCATGTTGCATATTCTATTTTCTATTTGGTTTTATATTTTTCTCTTTCCCGTCCAAAGTCACCTTTTACTTATAAAGGCGTGTTTCTTTGTATTAGTTAAAGTTGAGCAGTTTTAGTTAGTTAATGCTTAGACGACATGGCAACTTTGTATTGGTCATTAGTGTCTCTTAGCTCGTTTATATGAATCGAGGACCGTCCTCATTTTGTACTGTGATTTTTTACCAGAAATTATCAGAGATAATTTGCCCAAATATTTTGAGCTCTCGAGCTTTACATGGTATTCAGGGCAGGTAATCAATGGTGCGCCATGGAGATGAAAAATGATGTAAAGAGACGACGGTCACGAGATACACAAGGGATTTCGATCTGCTTTTGCTTCATGGTTTAGACCATCCAGAATGGCGCTAGCGAGCAATCAGCTCACCGGTTCTAACTATCTTCATTGGAGTCGTGCAATGAGCTTAGCACTCGGAGGAAAATCTCAACTCGTTTTCATCTATGGTACAATGAAAATTCATTATTTCAATGTAGAGGACATTGAGCAATATCAAAAGATGGAGTTCATGGTGATATCATGGCTGTTGAACTCGATCTCGAAAGAAATTGTGGAAGCATTCATGTATGTGAAGAGTTCAAAACAACTATGGGATGAGCTGGCTAAGAGGTATGTGGAGAGTAATGGACCTCTTCACTATCAACTTCAAAAGGAGATCTTAAATTTTGTACAAGGTAATTTTACTGCTACAACCTACTATACGAGCTAAAATGCCTTTGAAATGAATACACATGCTTGGTGGCTCTACATGACTATAATTGTTGTGCTGGTAAGGCATATTGTGGCAATGACTCAGAAATTAAGCTCATGCAGTTTATTATGGGGTTAAATGATGTTTTTAGCCTGTGAAGAACAAAATTCTGTTGATGGATCTTTTACCTACCCTCAATCTAGATCTAATTCCATGATCATAAAGGTTGAGAAGCACAAATCTATACACTACATATGGTTGGGCGGCCTGGATAGTTCAGTCATGTTGGTAAAAGGTGGATATGAAAGAGGAGGGACAGGTATGGGAAATTTTAGGAGAGGCAATAGTGGTATAGATTCATCTGGACAGAACAATAACAGCTCATGTAGGGGTAGAGGTCAGCCTAGACTCTCCAAAGAATAAAGGGAAAAATTATTTTGTGAGCACTATGGGTACAATGGACATGAGGTTTAAGGTTGTTTCAAACTTAATGGCTATCAGAATGGTATAAGGAATTGAAGAATCAACAATTTGGTCAACTTGCTGACATGGTAGATAACCAAAGTGTAAACACAAAGTCAACTGAAGCTTACCATGAGAAACAATAGTCCATTGGTGCATTTGGAGACATTAGTTCCTTAATACAGAAAGAGGTTGCCAAGTACTTATCTGGGAAACAAGTTGGAGATTCATCTTCCTTTGCACATCACACTGATTTCTCATGTAACATTAATCACTTTGTGTTTTCCTTTTGGATAACATAAAAGAAACTAGCTGGACTGTGGACGGTGGAGCTAGTAGGCACATTTGTTGTAACCTGACTCCGTAGACAGTTTCAACAGCGTAATTGTGCCTATTACAGTCAACTTGCCTAATGGAGTTAAAATTAAGGTGACAAAGGTTGGAGATGCCAAATTGAACGATGAACTTGTCTTGAAAATTTTTTGATACTGTCTGAGTTTAGATATAATTTGTTGTCTATTGGCCAACTCACAGAAGAGAAAAGTTTGATGTGTACCTTTGATAAACAAGGATGTTGGTTGTAGAACCTTGAAAACTAATACCTACTGGCTAAAGGGATAGCTCATGGTGGTCTATACGACATTAAGGGAAAACACTTTGAAGTTCATCAACGCGTGAGAACTCAAGAATTAGAGCTTTGGTATAAGAGATGGGGACACAGTTCAGTGCCATGTTTGAGACATACTGACTTTCTGAGGTCAATGATGTTCTTATCACATGCACTACTCTTGCTGAAATACAACATCTCAAAGGGTATTTGGACAAACTATTCACCATTAAGGATTTGTGTCTTGCTAAATACTTTCTTGGCTTGAAAATTATTCAAGTGGCTCAAGGGGTTCATCTTAGTCAGAAAAAGTACGTTCTTGACATGATCAAAGATCTTGGGTTACAGGAATCTAAAACTGCAGTCACTCCTTTTCCACAAGGTTTAAGTCTTTCTACTCATCAAGATTCTCTATTGCTTGATCTTTAACCTTACAAAAGACTTGTGGGAAGCCTCTTATACATCAACCTGTCTAGGCCTGATGTCTTTAATGTTGTTCAACAGCTCAGTCAATACATTAAATCTCTCTTGGAAAGTCATTAGTCTACGGCTAAACACTTGCTTAAATACTTGAAACAAAATTGTTCAGTGAGCTTTTTCTTCACTTTACAGTCTATCTCTTCTTTTCAAGCCTTTTGTGATGTTGATTGGGGCACTTTTGAACTCACAAGAAAAACCATCACTGGCTACTGCATATTCTTAAAGGATGCATTGATTTATTGGAAGACAAAAAATAGAAGACTGTGTCTAATCCTCTACAAAAGTCGAGTATAGGGCTATGGCCACCACTGTTTGTGAATTACAGTGGCTAGTTGGGTTAGCAGGTGATCTAGGTTTTCAAGCTTCTCTACTGATATC